GCGTCACGTTATCCCCTCTTATATATACCCGCTTACCCCATCTAGTAAATACTAGAGCATTCATGAAGAAACAAGATAGTTCTAGAAACTAGAGGGCGCCACACCAGTCACGTGACCTCGATGACGCAACACTATGTTGTTGTTGGTCTTAGGATTCTTCTACAGTAGGTGTCTGTGACTTATTAGCGATAAGTGACTTATAGAAAAAATACTTAATTACACACACTGTTACTAGTTTAAAATTAGTTAAGTAACAAACATTTAGTAATGTTACAATAACTTCCTGAAATTATTCTAGAAAAAAAAATCAATTTAGAATTATTTTGATTTTTGGTGATTACAAGGTATTTAACATCGTTATATAAAGGAGATAACAAATAAAATACTTTTATTGAGAACAAATATTTGAGATGTTTCTAAAATTTAAGGATTTCACAAATGACATTTGAAACAAAGAAAACTTTAATATTAACATGATATTTACTTTACACTCTGAATAAACAGCTCGCACTTCACTTGTTTTCAAAATAATATATATATTCAGAACAAGTTAACGTATGTACAACGAATTCTTCAACACCATAGATATTATGGACATATCATAAATACTATATATATGTATTTCTCTCTTTCTTGTCAAATATCCACTTAGGCCTATTCAATTACTTTAGAACTTCAGTTGACAAGCCGAACTATCTTCTCTATTTCTATCGCACTACTATTCTCTGTGATTCACTTACAATTATGGTGCGAGTTACCGTAATCGTTTGGTCTTTCTTTTGAAGATCCTCTGTTCCTTTTGTAAAAGTCCACTCAGGCTGATTCAACTGCTCTAGAACCACGCTTTGACGGAATACAATTATTTTTCTTATCTTCTTTTCTACTGTTAGTTTCACTCTAGCATATTAAACGTTAGGCCTATCCTTTCTATGGTAGTTAACTTCACACGAACTTAATTTTCGTTCGCTATTATCTGTCTGCTGTTTCCCGCTCGTCTCACGTTATTTATATCATTATCACTTAATGGTCTGTCCACCTTCTATATTCTCGACGTCAATATATTGCACGTGACGTTCAATATTCTCAACATCAATGAATTATTAACAAAACTTCCTACAATCATCTGCTTTTAACTCTTATTATAACAAAAACTAGACAATAATAAAACATTCACTCCCATAACCAAATTAATCAATACTATCTGAACGAAACAGTCTTTTATATCATGACATTATCCAACCTCAAAAAGAAATAAATAACCAATATGATAATAACCAATAATATTTTGTAATATACTGTTACGACAGAGGAAGTCACGCGACTCTGGAAGCATGTGCGCCGGAGTTTCTAGAAGGATCATGTCTCTTCCTGACAACTCTAGTCTTTTCTACGCGCCCTCTATTTTAGTATATAAGCAGGCAAATAAAGCGAGATAATTAATTGAATTGCAGACGGACAATTGAGTCAAGCGCGGTAGTGACCGTAAGTAAATTGCGTGAATCGTTGTGAATTATAGCGTGTGTTTAATTTAAAGTGACTGTGGAAATTAAGTGTATTGCAAAGTTGTATTGAGAAAGAATAAACTAGTTTTATTTAAGAAAGGACTTGTATCACTAAAGTTTCACCCGAAAGAAATTATACGGGAAATTAACAAACGACCAGAGACGTAACAATACCTTATAAATGGTCACATAAATTAAATTATATACACAGTATAGTGTATATAAGTATTAGTAAAAGTAAGTTACATATAAGAGTAGTTATTATTAATAGAAAATATTACGTTTTCTTTGTGTTATTTGTTTGGTGATACACTAAGTTCAAATGTACAGAGCATACTCAATCAAAGTTTCCTAAAACTAAAATTTGAATATTAACTGTCTGGTAATGAAGGAACAGAATTGGGCTATCAAATTAAACACAACGATTTTTATTGCATACAGAAATCAGATTAAATAGTCAAAAATAATGAATTATTGACAATATACTTGAAAATACATATGCGTCATCGTATTGGTGGAGCTACCTCGTCCCAGGATGATGAATAATTATCTCTAGGATGGTACCTTGCCTTTAATCACGAGTGTCAGAGCAAGTTTTAATATTTTCGAAGACAAAGAATATTTAAAATTATTACATAAACAAAAAATTAGATAAATCAAACATCCACACTGTCAAATAAATCTATATTGGTGTTATGTATGTCTTATTGTTCGAATGTGGTGGTCTGATTAGTGTCTAAAATGGCCCGAAACTAAGCAATTATGGACTTCTTTTACTATATTTGGTGACTTCAATTTTCTTCATGTGTATATAATAAATGATAGAATCAGTTGAAAAATCTACACGGCTTATTATTAATATTGTACTTTCATCGCCAATTTGTTCCTTCATGAATCCACTTTCGTCGCCTCACGCGTTTTCTCGCTAACGTCGAAACAAAAGTTTTGTTTGAAAAGCGGCCGGGTTTTAACATGGCAGATCGTCAGGTTAGTTCGAATGAATTTTAAGCACGTTGGCAATGATTTCAGTTTGTTTTTCTGTTGTTGGAAGGTTTTAATAGTTGTTTTTTTGTTCTTTTTCAGAATCAGAAACCGGAAGGGGGTGATTCAGGATCAGAATATATTAAACTTAAAGTTGTTGGACAGGCGAGTTAAAACATGATATAGATGGGTACTACTCCGACTCAGTACCAGTAGTAGTAGTACCAGTACTACTAGTACCAGTTTTAGTCACTAGTGGTAGTAGTAATGCATTACTAGTACTACTTGCACTGAGTACTTGTAAACTTTCTATAATATTAATATTAAATTGTCATGATCATCATCAAATTGATTTGCAATAAACAATAGCATTACACATACAAATACAAGTTACAGCTATACTGTTACTAACACTAACATTAGACTTACAGTTACTGAGTTACAGTGTAAGTAACGCATATTAACCTAACACTAACACTACTCTCATTTTGAAATCAGTTGAATTGATACGCTGAATTCAGTTTCCATTTTTAAGATATAAACCAAGTTTCACCAAATAATTTACTAATTATAATAATCGATTTTGGAGTCCAAGAGAGCTATAAAAGTATAATTGACTCAAGTTGCCATATTTATTTTCATAAATTACATATAGTTGTGCCACATTCTGTGGTGCTTCTTCTTATCAAAAGAATTAAGTTGTGAAAGTTCTGGTACTTGAGTGTAGTAATAGTTCTGTTAGTAGTAATATTGTAACTGAGTGAAATAAGAAGTTTGCTTATACCATTACTAGTGAATACTACTGCTGTCAGTATCAACATATAGTTTGTTAATAAAGGGGATTTTGACATTTGAGTATTACCGTCTTTCAAGAGGGAATGAACATGTTAAGTAAGCATGAAAGGGCTATCTTTAAAGATGGAACATGGAATGATCCTAATGTTATGATTGATCTCTTAAAATGTGTAATCTTTGAAATTACATATAAAACCAACAAAGTTTAGTATAAAATTGTTTTGTTTCTGTACTTATTTTCTCACAAGTAATCTAACCAGTGTTTCATACAATTAATCTGTGCTGTTAGAAAATTATAGTCAGAATTAATGCACTAAATAAAACTGAATTATGTGATAGGCTGTTGAAGTCTAGTAATTGTCATGAATCTATGAAAAACAGAACTGATAAATTCCTGTATGAAGTTTAGTATATAATTTGGCATATTGTAATAACAGAAAAATTAAGAATTATCGGTATTAAAGGCAATTTTTAACTATAAACTTACTTTAATCATCTGACCTTGTGAGTTTAACAGTTAGACATTGAATTATTAGCTTTAACATTTCTACAGAAACCCACCTTATTTTCATGTTAAATTTTTTGATTGACCTTTCTGATTACCGAGTGAAGGGTGTTTCTGATGATGGGCTTGATTTAAATGTTCCAGTTGCTGACTATAGATCTCTGCATTGACAGTTTGAAATGAATTGCTCCTTTGATGTCCCACCAAATGCAAAGCATCACTTTTTGCGGATGGAGTCCAGGTTTTG